ATAGCTCAGTCTGAAAGTAAGCATGGAATGTACCTGGCTTGGAATCCTGACACTATCATAAGACAGCTGTAACTTTCACCTCTTCAAGTTTCAGTTTCTATACCTATGATATGGTTGGTTATAGCTACCAACTCCCATAGAGCTGGTGAGAATTAAAAATAGTCAGCTGGGCAAGTGGTGGCTTTAATTCCAGTACTCAGGAAGCGGCAGCACAGTCATCTCTGGGAGTTCCAGGCTAGCCAAGGATATACAGAGAGAACCTGTCTCAAAACAAGTTAGTATATGCAAAGTGCCTGGACCAGAGCAGACATTTAGTAAGACGCTCACAGGTGTCTCTTTCTCCCACCCTTCCAGAAAAGCAGAGTGATGAATCAAACTTTCAACACTGCTGTTTTGAGGAAAAAGGCAGAAAAATCCAGCCAAATGGAACCATAGATTTCCTTGATCTCAAGTTTTAAAGGAGATAAGCCATGAAATAAACTAGTAGGAAACAGAAATAACTAAGGGATTATAAAGCCCACACCAAAGGTGTTGAGATTATTAATCATTTCCACTTGCCTTTTAGTGTGATTATGAGATATTATTTCATGCTCAGTGAAGGGAGAAATCACCCAAACTTTGAAAAGGGAAATTAAGTGTTTCATAAAAACAAAAATCGCTATTTCCAGATGTCTTCTCAGAAAATTATTTCAAAATCAAAGAAAACCCTCTGGCCTTCACTGGGATGACTTGTGCTGCTGCCTAGGCCTTGTCTAGGGCCACTGGTAAGCTGAGCACACAACACCGAACAACACCGATACCATGGCAGAGACACTGACGGCACAATGCTTGCTAGGCGCTGTCAGGAATACAGTCCTGCCCTGACAAAAGGTGGCTTAAATAGCAGACATTCATTTCCTCACAATTCTGGAAGGTCAAATGGCACTGTCCCCTCTGCAGGTCTCTTCTAGGTTTGTAGGTGGCTGCCCAGAGCACTTCTCCATGACTGCCTCTTTGCACACGTGTGCCCTGATGTTTCCTGGTGTGTCCACTTCATCTTTTCTCAGAAAGGCACAGGTTAGAGGGATCTGGATCCCATTGAATGGCCTTGTTTGAACTTAATTACTTGTTCTGGCCCTGACCCTGAGTACAGCTGTATACTAAGACACCAGTGTTAAGGCCATGTGATACTTTTTCCATCGTGGCAACTAAATAACCTGACAGATAGCACTTGAGGGAGAAAAGCGTTTGGTTCATGGTTTCAGAGATATTTCACTTCCTCAAGGTGGGGAGACACAGTGCAGAAACAGCTCTGTTAGTGTCAGCCATACCCGAAGTGGGTCTGTTCACATGGGCCAGGGCCAGGAAACACAGAAAGTCAGACTGGAATCAGAGATGGGCAAAACCTTCCAAGGCTTGCTCCTGGGACCCTACATCCAAGAGCCAGGCCCTGTCTCAAAAGCTGCACGACCTTCAGAATAGTGCCATAAGCATCCAAAAACATTAACTTATGGAGACATTTAAAATCCAAACAGTAATAGGCTACAACATATGAATGTTTGAGGGACATGATTCAGCTCCACAACAAAACACTGACTCATTTAGCCATTTTATGAATGAGTAGCCAGACTCTGAGAGAATAATGAATTTGTCACATGTCACAGTCAGGAAGGTGTGGAAGAAGTTTTAACAAAGGCCAATGGTCTGTCTGCTCGTTACACTTTCTCAACGGATGCACATCTAGCTGGGAAGACACAGCACTGACAGCTGAAAGACTGAAAGAGAGCTGTGGAAACAGGGCCTTCAGTCACTAGGGCTCTGTCATTACATGGAAAGAATGGATTCAGGGTGAATAACTTATATTAACACAATGTTAATACAGGATCCTCCTCCAATAAAAACCATCTATGGGCTTCCTCATGTGAGGACCTTCTAACTAGAACATAGGAACTGTCTTGGCATTTCCTGGCCCAAAGCCTATAAATAATCCTAAATCAATGTTAAAGACAACAGAGAGCGTGAGAACAAGTATCACAGATAGGATTTCCATCATGTCTATATATAGGATGCATGTATAAAATCGCTCATCTTTTCTGTATTTGTTTTGTTTTTCAAGACAGTTTCTCTGTGTAGACCTGGCTGTCCTGGAACTCACTCTGTAGACCAGGCTGGCCTAAAACTCAGAGATCTGCCTGCCTCTGTCTCCTGAGTGTTGGGATTAAAGGCCTGTGTCTCTACCACCTGGTTTTTCTGTATGTTTTTATCCCATTGCTGACATATTATATTGGTGGGCTTTCAGTTCTATCAAGTCCCAGGATGAAAGTCTGGAGTCCTGTGCTTGGTCTCTTTAGACTCCCACTTGTGTTTCTTGGAATGTTCAGCTAAATTGTGGTTCAGGGGCCACCAGCTCTGCCCTTTGGGTTGACTATGTATTGTTCTTTCAAGTTTGTATAAAGTACCACCATACTTTGAGCTTTATCCTGTAACTGCATTTTATGCTGTTGTATTCTGTGTTAAATTAAATTATAAAGTTAAGAAATCAAGCTATTTACATTTCCAGATGTTATGATGTTTGTCAAGACCAGTCTGGTGTGCATTCCAGGGATTTAGATATAGGATATAAAGTCTAGAACATAAAAAGTCTTACATATATTTCTTGGACAGGGTCTACTACTTTCTTCTATTTGAGGAATAGATAGAAATATTCCAGTTAGAAAACAAATTCCATGAAGGCACAGCATGATGAATATATGTATATACATAATATATACACATAAACTATATATAGTTATAGCATCTCTAGTATATATATTAGACAAAAATACACAGTTCAATGTAAAATTCTATCCTAAGATATCTCATTACACACATGCAAATATTACAAAATCCAAAAAGAGAGTAAATTAAAAGTGCAAAACACCATTGTTGCCAAACATTTGGATAATGGATGTTCAAACTATGCTAACATGAGCATTTACATAAAGTTGAGTCCTAAGGCTTAAATGACTAGTTTGCTCCATTCTGAGATGGTCCAATTTTAAATTCCATTATCTGAAAGTTTACTGTGGTAAGGTGAGTGGCAAAAACCAGAGCACTGAGGTTTTTTGTTTTTTGTTTTTGACAGTCCTATATGTACAGCAAAAGAAAGCAAAATGTTGCTGAGCATGGTGGCCCACTCCTTCAGTGCCAGCACTGGGGAGGCAGAGGCAGGAGGATCTCTGTGATTGAGGCCAGCTTGGTCTACAGAGTGAGTTCCACACCAGTCAAATTTTATGGTAAGACCTTGTCTCAAAAATGAATACATAAAACAAAATGGCACCTAATTAGAATATTATGGGTTAGAGAAATGGCTCAGAACATAAAGGCTCTTGCCACTAAGTCTGATGACCTGAGTTAGAACCCTGGGGTACACATGGTGTTTTGAAAGAAAATCATCAACTCCTATATGCTGTCCTCTGGTTTTCACCCCCACAAATAAAAATAAATAGATATAAAAATTTAAAAACTGAGGTACCATGATGGATATTCTGGTTAATTAGAGCTGAGTATGTAATTGTTTTGCTTCAACTATTGTTAAGATCCTTTCAGTGATTTATTAGACTGATGTGTTCTTCTGCATGTAGTGCAGAAGAATCTTTGAAATCTAACACTTGGCCACTTCTCCTAATGCTTTCTCAGCCTTGTGCATTCTTTGGCAGTGCAAGGGGGTTAGAGTGGGTTAGAACAGTGCTCTATGGACCTGTAACTAACATAGGTACAAGGTATGTTAAGTCATTGCAGGCCTCCATAAGAAGTCCTAGGTAAATACAGAAATCTATTCCAGGGCCTCATATGTCCCAGGATGACCTTTCTATGTAGCTGAAGATGCCTTGAATTTCTGGTCCTCCTGTCTCTACCTCCTGAGGGCTAGAATTACAGGTGGTCCTTACTAAGGCCAGCTTTGTGTTTTTGAGGTAGCATTTCACAATGTAGCCCAAGCAAGTCTGGAACTCATTAGGTAACCTGGGCTGGCCTCACACTCATGGCAATCTTTCTGCCTCAGTTTCCTAAGTGCTAGGATTATAGGTGTGCATCATAGCCACCTATTCATTAGATCACTTAAACATTAACACAATAGCAAATTTTAAAGCTAGAGCTAACATTTCATTCATCTTTTTTTTTTCTCCTAGATCCTAACTTTGTTAGATAACTGGAATTAGCCTGTGATTTTTCCAAACTGTCATAACTGAGTCAGGTGGGGATGGGAAATCAGAGTTCAGAGAAGAAACAGGGTTTACAATGAAGCAGTACCATTCTTTCCATGTGCTTTTAATGACATTATTTAATGTTTCAAATAATATTAAAGTAGGGCTTATGTTGAGAAAAAGAGGCTGTAAAGGAATTTTAAAAAAAAATCTCTAAAAATCAGGGTTTTTTTTTTTTTTTTTTTAAACCACTAGACAAAAGCATATATATAGAATACTCTAAATAGAACCAATAGGTCCAAACCTTAAACCCACTTGGGCAAGACTGACACGCTCTTATGGTGAGGTGTTTGGGACCTGAACAGCATGACTGACTACATTTTGATGAGAAAACTAGCTTGTAAATCTCCAAACACAGTGAGACGCTTCTGTACCTCTGAGCACAGCAGTCTTCATTCTGAGTCTGTGTTTCCAGTTTTTACTGCCTCTGCAAACGTTCATAGAAAGGGCTATTTATCATCCCCTCTCCTTTATATTCTGCGCCTTCTAGGCAACAAGCATAAAACTTGGAAACATGTTGAAGGGTAGGACTGCTCTGACTCCCAAATTTCTTCTTAAATGGGGAATCCAATGACAACTAATCTTTTCATTTTTGCAGATTTTGCAATCCCGCAGATTATGTCATTTCCTATATGATCCTGATTCACAGATCATACCTTAAGGCTTAGACCCGACAGTTTTCAGTTTTCAGAGAGAGACTGCAAGAAAGCCATTAGCACAGGCCTGACTCTGAGGCTCTGTGAACATGGAAGACCATCTAGTCTGGGCAACACCCACCTCCAGCTTCAGCACATCATGCTGAAGTTTACGTTGAAATTCCAGGAAGTTTTTGATGGTGAGTTTCCCTTTGAGATCAGCTCCAAAAAAGTAGGTTGTGAGGGCTGAGCATAAGCCAGACTTGAGGGTGTTCCCAGTAGTGGGACGGTCTCTGTGGCGCATGCCCATGCTGGTTTGGGAGCGAATGATGCTTTGAACCTACAACAGAATCATATCACCACTCTGAGACTCACGTGACAGTGAAACAAGAAAGGTCACAACTGCATGACACAACAATCTTAGGAGCCGCGTCCTATTATTCTCATTCACAGATGAAGAGACTGAGGTACACACCCAGTTGAGTAGTGGCAGCAAGGAGGAGAACAAGGATTTTGACTCAGGAAGCCTGGCACTTTCATGACTGGAAGCCTCCTAGAGAACATGTCTTCAGAAAAAGAGGATCTGTTTTAGGGTGGGGTGGGGTACAGACCTCTCATACAAGCGGGGCATCCTCACAATAACATACTGTCTCAGTATGTTTCAACATCCCACACTTCTCAATCTACTCTCTAGATGGGCTCTCTAAAAATTCTTTTGTTTTAAATTATTTTACATGTGTGGGTGTTGGGCTGCATACATGCTGGTGTACCACATGCGTGACTGGTACCCAGGGAGGCCAGAAGAGGACCTTGGGATCCTTAAGGAGCAGAGTTACAGACAGTGATGAGCCACCATGTGGGTGCTGGGAATCCAGTGTTCTTAACCACTGAGCCATCTCTTCAGCCCTATCTGCAGATTGTTGACAACTAAATATTTTAGTATGACTGATGATATAAGTTGGTATACAAGAAGAAAATGCAGGGAACTTGTTCAATCTTTGAGAAGGGTTTGTTTTGAGCAAGAGTGAGCTTTCTTAGTTAAGAATGTCACCTGGGCCCACACTGACTGCTCATCCCCACTGGCTAAGCATACTAAATAAGGACGTCAGCACCACTTGCCTGCTCAAACTCCTCCATGTCTACTTCTCCATCTCCATTCAAGTCAAACATCTTGAAAGCAATTTCAAAATTTCTCTGAGGAGCTGCAAGGAGAAAAGGAGATAATACATTAGTCAAAACATAAATCACTTGGGAAAAATGGCTAAACACTGAAATGATACCTCAACGATAGAGATCAAGGGTTCACTCCTTGAAACTCCAAGAGGATTTTATAGCCAATAAAGACAGCAGTTGTCTGTTTTTGTATTTCAACCCTCTTTATGTTTTTTTATTTTTAAATGATCATTTTATTATGTATGGGTGTTTTGCGTGCATGTATGTCTGTATACAATATGTGTATAGTGCCGGTGGAGTTAATAGCCAGTTGTAAGCAGCCATGTGGGTGCTGGGAATCAAACCTGGGTCCTCTTCCAGAGCAGCCAGTGATCTTAACCACTGAGCCATCCCTCCTGCCCCTAAGCCCTTTCTTATATATTTCAGCTTTGCCTTTTAAAATATCACACCATCAGCTTTCCCACTTTTTGGTTGCTACTGGTTATACATGCTGAGCCTGCACACCATGTTGTTTTGAATACACTACAATTTACTGAGTGGAGAAAGCCTGTCTACGATGAGACATACTGCTGCAATGCAGGAATGTCAGCTTAGACCTTTGCCCTTGCCTTTAAACAAGCCAGCTTTCCACTCTCAGAGAGTCTGTACTGCTCTATGCAGGTCACTTTGCTGTGAGGGTTTCAAGCTCTTCCTGTCTATGCATTTACTTATTATCGCCACTCTCTGGTAGGGCAGAAAGGCATTCTGGATGACATTCAGCCCCGACTCCAACATGACAGCTGCACACACAAGTAACTAAGTGGCGCATCCTTAAATGTTACAGCTTTAAAGAAAAAAAAAAAAAAAAAAAGACAAAAATACACAAAGCTTGAAATACTCATTCCCTTAAATGAATGGCCAAAGCTCCTCCATCAGTCTTCAGTGTTCCAGAAGCAATCAAAACACAATTAATGCACTTCATGTGTCATAACAAAACATAAATTAATGGCAGTCTTCCTTCATGCTATTAAGTGTTTTGATAAAGAAAACCAACATATTTACTTCCTTCCTTCCTTTTGTGCTCCCCCCAACCTACAGAGCTTTAGAGACTAAACCAAATTAAGTGTTTTGTCCTAGTACCACCAAAGAAGTTTTACCACCATAAAATGTAAAGACTAAGAAGCATGAATAATGACTTGTACAATACACATACCCCACTGTGAGTCTGTTAATAGCAGTACTTCCTGGGTGACCCCAGCTGGCTAGAAAGTTCCTGGCTTCCGTTGCCATGGGGAATCCTGGGCCTCTCAGCTTGTTTGTTTTACTTGATGTTGGCACCCAAGAGATTTGTTCCTTTTCTGTTTTTTGGTCCTCTTACCTCAGCCTCCCCATTTCACCGCCATCTCTGGTCCACACCTACTCTTCTTTATGTTGCAACTACAACTGCTGGGAAGGACACCACTTAAAGAATTTGATTTTTATATGTTTATTGGCACTTTTCTTTTCTTTTCTTTTTCTTTTTGAGACAGGGTTTCTTTGTGTAGTCCTGTCTGTAACCAGGCTGGCCTTGAGCTCACAGTGATCCACTTGCCTCTGCCTCCTCAGTGCTGGGACTAAAGGCGTGCACCACCAACACCCAGCTCTAATCCTGGCTAGCCTGAAACTCAGTATGTAGACCAGGACGGCCTCAAACTGCCTCTTCTGGGATTGAAGGTAGAACTACCCCGCCCAGCTTGAGTCAAGCCTTAAAATGGATAATTTCATCTATTTATTTGTGGATTTTGTACCTACAACCTCACAGGTTTAAAGAACAAAGTAAAATAGAGGGTACAGGAGCGATGGTTCAGTGGTTAAGAGACTAGCTGCTCTAGTAGTGGACCTCAGTTTCCTGTACCCACGTGACAGATCCTAACGGTAAGTCCAGTTCCAGGATCTGAATTCCTCTTCTAGTCTCTGCCAGCACCAGGCATGTACATGGTGTGTGGACATACAGGCAAAACACATATAACATGAAATTTAAAAAAAAAAAACAGACAACAACAACAAAACAGCTAAAGGACAGTTGACCCAGAATGACAAAGTCAATACTGACAGGTTCCAGGAGGTGTTTGAAACCAGTCTTTGGCCACTTTAATCTGATTCGTGAACTGGAACCTCTTCTTTGTCACTGGGTCAACCTCTCAGCTCTTCTGGACTTTCCCTCACAATGCAGACTCTAACTTCTGTCTTGAGGACACCCAGCTCTGAAGAGGCCAGGCAGTAATTAAGTAACACATGCTATGCTTTGGAAGTAATTATGTCAAGGGCTGAAAGATGGGTGTTGATGTGAGGACACTGCTGAGAACTGTATCAAACAGTACTGGAACCTGAAAAGCGTGTTAGGGTCACCATTCAAAAACCAGGTCACTCATAGTAAGAATTACATTTTATATCGAAACTCAGGTTGCATGTCTATAAAAATACATGTAAGTTTCCGGAAATGCTTTGGAAAATACTATTCTAGGGTACTGGAAATGTAGTTCTGTGGCTGAAAGGCTGACCTAGCCTACCAGAGGCCCTGAGTTCAATCCCCAAAACCATCGAAAACAGGGTGGGGTTCCAGTGTGGAAAAGATCATACTCTGAACTCCATGGGCAGTTGAGCTGTGAAAAGAATAAAAGCTTGGTAGACATTAAAAAAAAAAAAAAAAAACCAGGTCACTCGAGCTGACAGTGACATTCTCCAGAGCATCCTGTACCTTCTGTCCATTCCAGGGCATGTGGCTTTCCACCATGCTGGATACACATTTGTAGTAAACAGTAAGCCATGACCATCTTTCTTCTTGCCTTTCATAACGATCTCCAAGACTCTGTGTGAGCCCATGCACACATGTGAACACACATGTATGCGTATGTATGATGAGCACATGACAAAGGACTGGAAAAGTTAAAGTACCAACTAAATACCATCCAGAGTTGTGGCTTGTCAGTCACCAGAGGCTTCCTGCAGAGCATCTACTTACAGTGTTCTGTCACCTGGAGTCCAGTAGATTAGAGTTGAGTATCTGGGACATAGGCACAACCTGAACTTCCTCTTAGCCCCAGCAAGAAGGGGTGCTGGATGCTACTTGTACAGTTCTAGATACTTCCTTTCTTTTACCTATATATCTTACATTATTTTCTTCCCCAAATTTTGCTTTGGTTAATCTTACAAGATTCTCAGAATCCGAGCAGGCCACATGTGGCTACCCATGCAGTCAATCCCAGGAGCAAAGTTTGGATGTGTTTGGGTCACACACATTATTTATTCTCTTTAAAAGCATTTTGTTTTTTTATCAGTATTAGGTGGTGGGGCCAACAGTGAGTCTCCTTTGGCACCGACACAAAATGATAAAGCTGGATAGATATTTTTATTATAAATGTAGTCACTTTCCTGCTTGAAATATAATAAACTTATAACATGTTGAGTTAAAACAAAAAAAAAAAAAAAAAAAAAAAACACAATAATAAGAACAACAAACACACCCCAAAGGAATAAACTGAAGCTCAAAGCAGTTAAATGTCTAGGTGACAACCCCAAAGCTGGCATGGGGTGGACCTGGAATTGGACCTACAGTGGCTCTTGTAAATGCTGAAGATGTGAACTGAGGTGGCTGTAGCATCAACAAAGAGCAGCTAATGAATCTGAAATGCCTCAAGAAGGCAGAAATTCTAGAACATACTGATTAGTTAGCTGTGATGGGTTGAACACAAAAATTGCTGCCCTTGGGATCTGCCTTGGGTTCCACAGCACATTCTGATGGAGATTTTGAGGAGAGAGAGGACTGTAGGCTACAGGAGAAAAGTCTGTAGTTTACAGGAGAGTGGGCTGTAGGTTACAGGAGAGAGAGGACTGTAGGTTATAGGAGAGAGACGACTGTAGGTAACAGGAGAGAGGAATGTAGGTTACAGGAGAGAGGACTGTAGGTTACAGGAGAGAGGACTGTAGGTTACAGGAGAGTGGGCTGTAGGTTATAGGAGAGGACTGTAGGTTACAGGAGAGAGAGGACTGTAAGGTTACAGGAGAGAGGACTGTAGGTTACAGGAGAGAGGACTGTAGGTTACAGGAGAGAGGACTGTAGGTTATAGGAGAGAGGACTGTAGGTTACAGGAGAGGACTGTAAGGTTACAGGAGAGAGGACTGTAGGTTACAGGAGAGAGGACTGTAGGTTACAGGAGAGAGGACTGCAGGTTATAGGCGAGAGAGGACTGTAGGTTACAGGAGAGAGGACTGTAGGTTACAGGAGAGTGGGCTGTAGGTTATAGGAGAGAGAACTGTAGGTTACAGGAGAGAGAGGACTGTAGGTTACAGGAGAGAGGACTGTAGGTTATAGGAGAGAGGACTGTAGGTTACAGGAGAGAGAGGACTGTAGGTTACAGGAGAGAGAGGACTGTAGGTTACAGGAGAGAGAGGACTGTAGGTTACAGGAGAGAGGACTGTAGGTTACAGGAGAGTGGGCTGTAGGTTATAGGAGAGGACTGTAGGTTACAGGAGAGAGAGGACTGTAAGGTTACAGGAGAGAGGACTGTAGGTTACAGGAGAGAGGACTGTAGGTTATAGGAGAGAGGACTGTAGGTTACAGGAGAGAGGACTGTAGGTTACAGGAGAGTGGGCTGTAGGTTATAGGAGAGGACTGTAGGTTACAGGAGAGAGAGGACTGTAAGGTTACAGGAGAGAGGACTGTAGGTTACAGGAGAGAGGACTGTAGGTTATAGGAGAGAGAGGACTGTAGGTTACAGGAGAGAGAGGACTGTAGGTTACAGGAGAGTGGGCTGTAGGTTATAGGAGAGGACTGTAGGTTACAGGAGAGAGAGGACTGTAAGGTTACAGGAGAGAGGACTGTAGGTTACAGGAGAGAGGACTGTAGGTTATAGGAGAGAGGACTGTAGGTTACAGGAGAGAGAGGACTGTAGGTTACAGGAGAGAGAGGACTGTAGGTTACAGGAGAGTGGGCTGTAGGTTATAGGAGAGGACTGTAGGTTACAGGAGAGAGAGGACTGTAAGGTTACAGGAGAGAGGACTGTAGGTTACA